AAAAAAAAAAAAACTGTTATCTCCTAACCTTACAGAACATATTCTGAAAATATTTCCAAAACCATCCAATTAAAAAAACCCCATTCCTGACAGGAATTGCGTAAGGAGACATAAGCTGTTTGTAAATATAGGCTTTTCGATTCAGTTCTAAATTAGGTCTCCTCTTCGTTCTTCCATTATATCTTTACTCTTAGTCATACTAGGTTACTTTCCTAATACGTTCAGGAAAATAAACTAATAATAGCTGATCAAATCAGTTTTAACCATTTCTGCTAAATATCACTGCCACTAACTACTCTAGTTCTAAAAGATTTCTGATATCAGGCACTTATAGCACTGCAGCGATTACTACAAACGCTAACATTCACAACCAAAAAAAAAACATCATCACCAAGAGAACAAATGAATATCATCTTTGTGAATATGCAGTTCAAAGAAGCTTACCCAGACAGGTTGCCATCAGCCCCATAAAGCTCCAAAGCTAAAATGAGTTAGAACTATGTAACCAAACTAAATTCCTTTGGCCAACAGTGTTCTAGACACGATCAGAAAACAATTTAAAAGACGGAAAAGCTGCACCTATACGATACTGAACCCTAACATTTCAGCACTTTGGAAATGTAGTGATACATCTAAGCACACTAACACTACCAAAATGCAGCCAAAATAAGTTTTCAAAAAAAACTGTATGTAAAACAGAATTCTTCAGTATTAGGTAAGTGATTTTTAAAGTGAGTTAGTTATATGGCACTTCTGAAATAATGGGAGCTTTTACGACGCCAGGGGGGAGAGGGGGACGGCGATGAAAATTTTCGATTTTGGGTGCAGAGCTTCAGATTTAAAATTAGTTCTAAAAGTTGTAGTAAATGACGAAAGCGCTTTGACAAGAGCGAATGGCACAATACGTACGACTGCCCTGTTCTCTCCGGTCAAAACTTTGATATGAAGTGTTGTTACGTGCACAGCAAAAATATTAAAAGGACTTTTTTAATCGAACGTCGCCCTCAGAACGAATTATGGCAAATGAAAATTAAGCAACAACTCACCTCTGAACATAGCCACAGACGAGACGATTTCGTTCTTCGCATAAAAAATTGAAGTCGCAATATATATAACGAAAGTGGACGGAATATGCAACCGCGTTGTCTACAACTTCCTCAGCTTTATTATACGGGGCAATTAACGGGAAGAAAGATACGAACGTCTCTACCTGAAGAAATATGCATACAAGAATTCAAACCGCTATAGAATACTGAAAAAAATTTTGCTGATCATGCAAAAGCCATACAATCAAGGCTCCGTTCCTCTCGAGTCTGGCGTCCAACTTTTCTTTGCTAGGAGTTACATTGATCACCCTACCATCTTCATCGATCGAAAAATTGATACATTTTCCTAGTTGAAACTGATTCGATGTTGGCAAGCTTCTCTGATCAAAAACTGGTTCCTTCTCTAAATCTGAAAGGAAGAAAAAAAAATACAATACGTGAATCCATCGTCCCAATAAAAAAACCAGTTGTGGACACAAAAGAATATGAGTCAAAAATTGAGATCGGCTCACTGCTATTAAATTAAAGGACACCAAACCTGCCGTTGCCACAAGGAAGACATCCTTAGAAATTTCTTCAGCGATTATGCCAAATAAGCCATGTTTTTGCGACATCTCACCATCTGCAGAAGATGCTGGGCCAAGGAATTCCTCAGTGTGCCGTTTACAGAAACTGATTCCGACAGAAGCGTTTAACTGTTGTGTTGGCTAGCTTCCAAACTTACGCTTCTCCGGTACAGGGCAGCATTGCAGAGAAGGTTGCTGGTTCCGATTCCAGTGAAAATGTGAAGCTTTCTTTGCCAAGGTTAACTTTCGGAATAGGACAGAGTTCAACGTTTTCTACTACAAGAATTTGTGAGAAACATACACACTAGTAAATGTATACAAGTAATTCCACACTTTTTTTCAGTCAACTTTACAAATTCGTTTTAAACTCGTAGGACTTGATAACCGATTGCATATCCCAGAAAAAAAAAAAAACATACAAAAAAATGCCGTAACAGCAGAGTTAAACTTCTCTAAAGTGCGAGAAAAAAAACACTGCTTTTGTTGAACATGGTTACTTTTAGGGACCTGTAATGCTGCCGATCCACAACAAATGCTTAAAATTTTTATTTCATTCAGAATTATATCTTCAACAGACTTAAGAAAGTGTTGAAGATATTCTAGCATGCAAAGGAAATTGTTGAAATAAAAATACAAGTTAAAAATACTGTTTCTAAAAGAAATATCCCGTAGAACAAGTTTTCATTCGAAGCGGTATTCTAATGCTTATGCAAGTGACGGGGTTCCGACTTAATCTGAAATATTGTTGTACTGAAACAAGCTCAATTTGGCTGCTTTAACGATAAGTACACGATACAAAATTTCTTGCTGCTGACTAACTTGAAATAAATGTTTTTCCCAAAAAGTATCCTGATGATAATTTTTCGAATTTATATCTTTTTGTTTCGTCATCGAACCACTTCAACCTGCGTATTTGAAGCTCGCTACCGACTGTCGACTGCGAATATTTTTTTACTACTCTCATCATAGCAGCTAGTGGAGCAACGTAATGAAGCTCTTGTATGCTGAGGATTCTTAAGCTGACGGGGAAAAGAGGTCCCGGAAAAACCGTTTTTTTCCAAATTCTTTCTTAAGAAGTAAAAACGACTGATATTTTTTTGAAAAAGTTTAATGTTCAGCTGTAAAGGTTGTTAGCAAATAAGATTTAGCCTAAAAGTGTCTTCTATACGCTGGCTCTTACTGGTAATTCTTCAAGTGTGCCAACTCTGCCATTAACGGGATTTTTCTACTCCGCGTTTAAAAAAAGTGCTATCCTGTTGCAATTTTAATGTTCTGTATGAAAAAATACGAGATTTGTGAAACTTTTTGAATTTTTCTGCTGTTATACAGCTTTGTCGCGATAACAAATTCAAATTCTCTTTTAAGTTTTTCTTTCAGAAAGTGAAACAATTAGAATTGAAATAAGTGTTCGGCTATCATTCATAGTTGAGGCAGTCTGATACTACAGTAGGACTGTATAGCAAAATCCGCTGAATCCTATTTCTAACATGTCACAGGAGAATGATTGTGACTTGCGCATTTGTCCAGCGATATCACTGTGTCGCGACCGCTCGCAAAAGGCACTATAGAGTCATTTAAGGTCACTGTACCTCCCCGAGGGGAAGCTCCCGGAGGGACTGCAAGTTGATCACCTAAGCAGAAGGAAGCCAGGTTTAAAAGGTTCAGTAATCAAGATAAAGTCAGTTTTAACTAGTTCTTTCAAGTTTTCTCGTCAGTTATATCAGGTATTTCAAGAGTTTTTTAACTTATTCGTCGACTGTGTTTCTCGACCCCAGTTCATACTATATTCCATCTGTTACTACGTGCCCAGCAAGCAGTTTTTTCTCTGTTTATTGGACTTTATTTGTAATTAATATTTATTGGTATATTACTAAGTGTTTGACGAGTGTCACCAAAATTTCCCTCTTTGTAAAGTCTAAAAGTAAGAATAAAAGGATTAAGTATAAGACAAGGCTCCAACATAAAAAGATCTCGTCCGACTAGGCACGTAAAACGTCAAAGTTATAAAAGTACATTATAAAAGTTATTTGACAAAATTAATAGTGGAGTATACTCATGAAAAGATACTTCATTTAGGAGTACCAATTACTCTAGCAGAGATAAGAAGAAATTATTGGATACCTAAAGGTAGATTGTTGATGAAGAAAATTCTTAAGGTTTGTTTAGTATGTCAGAAGTACCAACTTGGATCATATCAGTTACCTCCTACGCCTCCTCTACCAACTATTTGTAGTTTAAAAATGATACGCTTTTAAATAATAGGATTAGACTACTTAGGTCCCATTTTCTGCAAAAACGATGTTTCTAAGGAAAAGCAAAAATTATGGGTTTGTCTCTTCACCTGTATAACTACTCACGCTCTGCATTTGGAAGTAGTATATAATCTAACAGCGCAAAAATTCCTAAACGCTTTTAAAAGGTTCAATGCACGTCGTGAGAAACCAACAAAAATGATCAGTGATAACGCTACTACGTTAAAGTTAGCAAAGAAAGGTTTTGCTGAGTTATGGAAAGTTTTGTACTCCAAAAATGACTCAATAAATTATTTTTCTAATAAAATATTCAGTGGGACTTTATTACTGAATATGCTCCTTGAGAGGGTGGATTCTATGAGAGAATGATAGGGCTAGTGAAAAACTGTTCGAAGAAAACTATTGAGTCCTAAATCTAAGG